GTGCTTTAGACGTCTTCCTTGGCTCAACCCCACACCCTCCAGCCTGCCATGGGAAGCCTTCCCTTGATAACAGAATGTCAGGTCTTAGTGGAGATTTAATTACCTTGTCTAATGGCCCTGTGAAAAACCTCTAGGAGGAGATAGCAGTTGCCCACACACTGAGGAGTTTCAGGAATCTGTATGTATAAGAGAAACCTGTGGGATTTGATACATCTCAGATAGCCCCCCAACCCCCACCCCACCACCCCTTTTCTGATCCATAGATCTGGGGTAAGGCTGAGGAATAATTACCACAAATATCCTTCTCAAGGGATTCTGATGCAGGGATTCTGTAGATCAGGGTTTTGAGGCTCTAAACTTCAAATCTGAAAAATAGGCATAGGCGATGCCTGCTTGACCTGCTGCCCAGGGGAGCCTCCAGGGAGAGCTGTCAGCCACTGCATCTGCTGCCTAACTGGCACTTGGCCTCTTAAAAAAGAAAATCTTTCAGAGCATACCCATGGTGGTTGGCATTTGAACTTGCCTGCTCCAGGCAGAAAGTTCATACAGTTCAGACTTAAAGTTTAGAATGTAGCTTTATTATTATTTTTAAATGAACTTGAAAGTAGCTTTTCTTTTAGGGCATTGAAACCAAAGCTTTCTCAGTGACTTCACCAATGCTTCTTGTGTTTGGTCTTGAGAGTTGGGACTTAGCTGCAGATGTATGATACTTTGGGACAGGATCATTCTATGGAAATGGCTCAGTGAACCATCATGCTAGCTTCTAAGAAAAGGAAAAGAACAGAGAGGGCAGGGATTTAAAGGCCTTCACATGGCATCACGGTTCCTTGGGTCAACAGCCGATCTTATCCATCCTTGTGGCCCAACTCCAAGCATAGTGTCTGGCGTAGGACAGAGACTTAATATGCATTTGTTGAATGAAGGAGTGAATAAATTAATGAACAGTATAATTTATATAAAATATTGAGAGAGCTGATTTCTTACTCTTCGAAATTTCTTAGGCAGACATTTATGGTTGCCTTCCCAGCATCCATTTTCATCTTCCTCCTTTCAATATTACCCCAGATTTTCTAATCATGTACAGGGTTATATAGGATTGATCCTTTCCTGAATTCCAGTGGTGGCTCCTGATTGGTTTAGGGCAGTCAACACATCCCTGACCACAGTGACAGAGTCAGGAATGGATAACCAGGATCAATTAGGATGAAGACTCAATTCTGAGACTTTGTCAGATATGTCAAGAAAGCAGTAGACTGTGCCTCTGCCTGTTGCTTTTGGATAAGGGAGCCATAGCCCTAATATTTTTGGTTGTTATAGGGGCATCACAAGTGAAGAACATAGTAAGAGTAGAGTCAAATCTAGGGAAGCAGGGCCCAGAAAGAAAGATATGTGCCCTGAATTTTGGTAATGTCATTTGAGTTGCTGGAACAGTTACGCCTGAAAGCAGTGACTCCGGGCTATTGCTTAAGTCAATCAATGTGATTGAACGGAGTATTTGCAGCTAAGAATAAAACTTAGAAACTGCTTCTTAAAATGAATTATTAGACATGGACTAATCTTCTTTGTTTTTTAAATTAAAAAAAGTTTTGAGAGACAGGGTCTCACTGTTACACAAGCTGGGATACAGTGGTGCGACTGTAGCTTACTATAGCTTCAAACTCCTGGGCTCAAGTAACCGTCCTGCCTTAGCCTTCCTGAGTAGCTAGGACTACAAGGCATGTCACCTTGGCTGGTTAGGACAAATTTTCTTGTAGGAATAATGCTGTAATTGTGGCTAATGCTTCAAAACAAGAATCTGACACTAAGTCAGTCAAAGTTATGGCCAAAAAAGGTCAATGAAAACCATGACATAGCTATTTACTCATCTAATCATCGCAAATAATAAATTTTTAAACCAAATCCTATGTGATTGCAAAAATATACTGTATCTAGTAAATATATGAGAGAATTGGTAGTACCAAAAATTGCTAGAGTTAAAAAAAAATGTGTGATGGAAGAATATGGATTCCATACATGATATGCTAATGAGTTAGACATCAGTATCTAAAATTAATCTCTCAAAGGATAATTTGTGAACAGTTCAAAGAGAAAGGCTTGGTAATTCCTGGGGTTCAGAATGAGTTTACAATTTGTTTAAAATAAAACAAATTCAATATTCTGATAGCTTTGTTGAAATTTCATATCAGGAAAATAATATCATTTTAGCATATCTGGATTTTTAAAAAAGCATCTCATGAAGGTCATCGCATTCTGTCTCCTAGTCACCCTTCAAGACCCACAAGCAAATTTGACCTCTACTATAGTCTTCTCTAATCCCAGGAGACAGAGGAGTAGTATTTTGTTGCCAGAATTCATTTGCCTTTTAAGTTTGTTGGTTTCCATCTGTCTCCTTCACTAGATTGTACATTGGAGGCAAATATAAACCACACTTTATTCATTGTTGATTTCTAATACTTATTCTCTGACATGTAGAATGTATTTGCTGAAAGATTAAATGAATGGATGATATTCTTGGGGATAAGATGCAATAACATGAGCTTGATAATAATAATGTGAGGTATATTCATAAGTGGTCTAACACCCAGACTCAAATAATTCATTGAGCAAGATGACCAAAAGAGAGTTCTTCCTCACTGGTGATCTGTAAGGCTTTGGTCAACATGTTTTTGATGCCATGGATGGCATACTCCCTTCACTTTTGGAGATCTACATCACTAGATGCTCTCAACTAGAGCTTGGATAACTATTAGTTGGGTATATTAAAGAGGAACTTTTGCAAGTAAAGCTTTATGATTATAGAGCTTTTTTAAAAACAAAAACAAAAACACAACTTGGTTAGATCCAAAAGTCAAACTTAAAACGAATACAGAAGGGTAAAATTGATATTGTTAACATGTAAGTGGCATCCTCAGGACATAGAAGTACTTTTAAGACATGTTATCAGGTGGCCCAAGATCTCTTAGAAGAAAACAAAAGGAATTTGAGCCAATGCCATATTTTCGCTTCAGCAAAGCTCTCTGTGGAGGCATTCTCTCCACAAATATTTATTGGGTCGTCAAGGTATGCAAGGCCATGTGCAAGCTGGTGTGCAAAGCACAGCAAGTCATGGAACACACAATGCCTCTCACTACAGATATTCTGTTGATTTACTGTCAGAGCTCTTCACACTCCATTAGGAAACAAACAAACAAAAACATCCAATTACTAAGTCATTAGCAGGGCCTTTCAAAACAGAAGATCAGGATGCAGAGCATTAGACTGGAAGGGCCCTTAGAGAGCCAGCACAGCCCCTTTATTTCACAGATGGAAGAACAGACTTATGTAATGAAGAACAAGGTGCCTCTGTATGTACTGGCAAGGAGAGATAAAAACAAGATGTTTGTGAAGTGAAACAAGCAAATTGAAGGACACTAAGTACAGCGTAAAGCCGTTCTTACACAACAGCAACAGAAATGCCTAACCTGAAGCATGGGCTTTTAAACAATCGGAAGGATCTGCCTCCCCAAATTGACAGAGCTCAGCTACTTGGAAGGGGGAGAGGGACTGGAATATGGGGTGGGGGCCGGTTTGTGGATGATGAAAAATTTTTACTCTCAGTTTTGTGTATTTCCCTAATATGTCTTTTATGTAGCTTTGTATTGCTTTTGTAACAAATACATATGTATATATTTATATATGTGTGTGTAGCTGTGAATATGTATATATTATATCTCCATACATAATATGTGTGTGTTATGTATATGTGAGCTTATGCATATATAAGATTTTGAATAGAATGGACAAGTCTGGGACACTTGCAGGCTGTGGGTTCCACTCAGAATGCTACCCCACAACTTTCTGTGAAAACTTCAAGTTACTTAGTCTCCCTGAGCCATGGTTTCCTTACATGTGAAACAGAGATAATAACAGTCCCCATAGCCCCGGCATGGTGGCTTATGCCTGTAATCCCAGAAATTTAAGAGGCCGAGGCAAGTGGGTTGCTTGGGTTCAGGAGTTCAAGTTCAGCCTGGGCAACATGGCAAAATCCCATCTCTAATAAAAATACAAAAAATTAGCTGGGTGTGGTGGTGCCTGTAACAGTCCCAGGTACTTGGAAGGCTGAGCGGGGAGGATCACCTGAGTCTGGGAGGGAGGTAGAGGTTTCAGTGAGCTGAGATTGCACCACTGCATACCAGCCTGAGTGACAGGGAGAGAATTGGTCTCAAAAACAAAACAAAACAAAATCCAAAAAGTTCTCATCTGTCAGAGCTGTGGTGGGACATTAGGTCTTGGCTGCTTGGTGCAGTGGTCAGCAAAGGATAGGGTCTCGATGGGCAGTGGTGACCCGGCAGCATCATTAGGAATGCTAATGATGATTCCAGAAGCGGAGGCTGAGCCAAGGCCTGTGTCCCCGGGCTCTGGACCCAGTGGGCTCCTCCTACACTGGCCTCTCTCAGTGGGGAGTTCCTGAGTCAAGCATAGAATACAAAGAAAAGAGGAGACGAGACAAGGCTGAGGCGATGACAGCCACCTGCCTTCATGAGGGGAGCTAGGCTGGTGACTGATGATCAGGCAGGATTCTAAGAGCCACCCTTAGTGGCCAAACATGGTTCTTCGCTATCTGTTCATTTTTCAGGGATTGATGTTGTATAATATTATATCCTTAGAATGACTGGCCAAAAACATAATTCATAGAAGTCAACACATTCACCCTTGCCAACCAACTGTGTAAAAATAAATAAATAAATAAAGCCCCAAACTGAAAGGCAGAGAGTCAGAAAATCCACCCCTCTTTTCTAAGCATTTCTGAAATGGGCCATGGCTGGTTTTTGGAGGTCCTGGTAGGGGAAGGGGCTTGGTTAATCCCCTCTGACTAATCTATTTCCTTAGTGGAAAAGAAAGATTTGAGTTTTCAGTGCTGGGAGGTGAGAACATCTGTGTGCACTACATGGATGCCAAGAATTACTCAAAAAGGTTGCCCGCTAAAGATTTCTAAGGACATTTTCATTTCAGGTACTCACGGTATGATTTCCATATTGGAGGCTGGTATTCTTCAGCATCTAGAATAAAAAAGAAAAAAAAGAAATCCATTGTCAGCCCAAACGTCAAGCTGTCAACATGTGTCTTCTCCGCAGGAACAACCGTTTGTCCACAGTACTTGCATACAGGTCCTGGGTGGACTCTTTTGTCATTAGGGGGCAGTTCTAGGCATAGGAGAGGGGGTGTGATTGGAAACCTTGTGGACTTGGCACCACTTTCTTCAGCTCATGTACTGTGGCAGATCAATTGCTTAACAATTTTCATAGAGCCCAGTAAATCAAAAAAGATTTTTAAAGCAATTAACTTGATTGTACCCTCCGGTAATCCTTTCAAATGGTATTTACTTAACTTGGCATAGTAAACATATAATTTATCTCACAATTTCCAATCAGACCTTTAGCCCATTTATTAAGACTTGAGGGCAAGATGCAAAGCAGCAAGTATGTAGTATTAAATCTGTAGAGTTGTGCAACTCAACCAACTGAACTCCGAAAATACGCGATCTGACAGCAGAGACACTGATGATTCCATTGGAATTGCATTATCTCTTGAATTAACTCCAATATGTGACTTAGAAAATTTCCAGAAACCTCTCAGCAATCAGAAATGTCAGACTGACAGAGTTACAACAAAGTGGAGAGGCTGAAACTGTTATTCATTCATCTAGGAAACAGACAATGGGAGAAAACCTGCTTGTTCAGTCGACTCAACCATCCCAATGCTGACAGCTGAATTTATAATTCTGACGCAGTTATTAGAGTCGTCCTGCACTCACAGCTATAAGGTCTTGGGAGAACATACTCTAACTCAAATAGGAAAACAAAATCATTTTTTCCAAACTACAGAATATTGATGTGGGGGAACCTTGAGAGTTCTCTAATTTAGCACCTTTAGACATGGAAACTGTTCTCGTCATCCTACACCGCTGGTGTACCACATAGCCTGTCCTTAGACTGCCCTTGTCCGTGTGTTTCTGTCCTGTTGG